GTGAAGGGAAACAAAAATTGTGAATTTCATGGTCCCCGCCCCCCTGGGGCCTGAGGGGTGGGGCCAAAACCACTAAAATTAGTGCAATCTTTAAAAATCTTCTTCTTTACTCCTGGACATCAAGCAGGCTAACTGTTGACATGAATGTAATAAGCATTGAGTCCTCTACCAAAATTGTGAAATTCATGGCCCCAGGGTCAGGGGTTCTAGTGCTAGGGTGGGGCTAAATAGGTTATATAGTGAAAATGCATTATTTCCTTAAAAATCTTCTTCTCTGCTCCTGGGTATTAAGTAAACTAACTAAGTACATAGTTATGATAAGCAAGAGTGCTTCTTTCAAATTTGTGAATTTCATGGCCCCAGGGTCAGGGGTTCTGGTGTTAGGGCGGGGCTCTATTGATTATATAGTGAAAATGCATTGAATCTCTGAAAATCTTCTTCTCTGCTCTGGGGTAGTAAATAAACTAACTAAGTAAATAGCTATGATGAGCAAGAGTAGCTATTTCAAATTTGTGAATTTCATGGCCCCAGGGTCAGGGGTTCTGGTGTTAGGGCGGGGCTCTATTGATTATATAGTGAAAATGCATTGAATCTCTGAATATCCTCTTCTCTACTCTGGGGTATTAAATAAAGAAACTAAGTAAATAGTTATGATGAGCAAGAGTGCCTATTTCAAATTTGTGAATTTCATGGCCCCAGGGTCAGGGGTTCTGGTGTTAGGGCGGGGCTCTATTGATTATATAGTGAAAATAAATTCAATCTCTGAAAATCTTCTTCTCTGCTCTGGGGTATTAAATAAACTATCTAAGTACATAGTTATGATAAGCAAGAGTGTCTCTTCCAAATTTGTGAATTTCTTGGCCCCAGGATCAGGGGTTCTAGTGCTAGGGCGGGGCTATATAGATTATTCAGTGAAAATGCATTATTTTGAAAAAAAATTCTCCTCTGATCCTGAGTATTAAATAAACTAACTAAGTACATAGTTATAATGAGCAAGAGTGCCTCTTCCAAATATGTTAATTTCATGGCCCCTATGTCAGGGGTTTAGCTATTTGGTGTAAGGAGAGGGAGGCTCTACATTACATAAATTCTTTGGAAATCTTTTCCTTTGCTCCTGGGTATTATGCCAATGATCTAAGTATATATATATATATATATATATATATATATATATATATATATATATATATATATATATATATATATATATATATATATATATATATATATATATATATATATATATATATATATATATATATATATATATTGTATATTCGTGTTACTTTCTATCGCAGTGTTAAGCCTCTCATTCAGTTATCTGAAAAAATTTGGAAATGCAAAATGTACTTAAATTTGGTCAATGTTCATAATCATGATAAATTAAATACGACGCACAAATAAGAGTACCGATAGCTATAAACGAAGTAAGAAAATAGCCTCTAAAAGATAGAGCAGATCTTTCTTTCCATCTGAGCGTTAGAGAATGTTCAAAGTCATGCAAAAGTACGTTAGACGATAAATCATCTTTATAGAGGGGGGGGGGGATCCCGTGGGTTTTAATCTAAATTAGCAGTAAATCTATCAATGATAAAGAGCACCGGATTGGAATGTTGATATTTTCTGTTGTGTAAGAAGTATATAAATTAGACTGTTGAAAACATTAAAGACGTAAAGAAAGAAGTTTAAATAATCACTTAAAATCTAAATATCATTTAAATAATTCCAAAATACAAATACAGTACGTGAAGAAAAGGAGTAGACGGAAAGTTTTCCAAGCTCTTCAACAACAAACATTTAACCATCCGTACGGAATATTCTATATGCTATGAAATTAATGGTCCTTATTATATGAAAATGGCTGAAATGAGTCTCTTTTGTATGTGAAAAGAGGATTAATTGGTTGTTTGTTGTTTTTAATGTCCCATTCGACATTTTTTTCACTTATATAAAGACCTCACTATATCCGGGTGAAGGGCTTCAAATTATTCCTTTACTCAGAAACCTGCCTTGACACAGGGCCTCGGTTTTTAAGGTCTTAACCGAATGACCCATCAGTTTCACTTCAAAGTGCTGAGCGCATAACGAAAGATTAGTTGCTACACATTTTTGTTACTTATCATGATTAGTCGCAACCGAGATTCGAACTCTCGACCTTTCGATCAAAAAGCAAGCTCTTTACCGACTGAGATACCGTGACAGTTATATTGACCTAACAAAGAGTTGTGGACAAGAGTCTATTATATATGGAAACATCCTCTGGTTATATAGTTTCAAAACTGTTCAAATTATGACCTTCAGGGCGAGGATGTGGGTAAAAATAGTTCAGGAATAGTATAGGACAGGAATTAATGCATGTAAAAGATACTATAATAACAGTTTTTAAAATGATTTTATGGGGAATGGGGTCTGCTATTGAGGACGAGCGGTACCATGTTGACCCATTTGAGCAATGTTGCCCATAGGCTTTGATATGTAAACTTTTTTCAAGAGAATCGAATTTAAAAGTACAAATTAATTTTATATCTGCTTAATCCAGAGTCTACAAATAAACATATAAAAGATTTAATATGAAACTTATCAGTTTTGATTTAATTTTTTTTGCTTTTTACTTTTCTATTCTTATTTCATTTTTCTTATATCAGGTTAATTTATGTGTTCTGAAATTGGAAAATATACTCCTACTTCCATGAAATTGAAAAAAAATGAACACAAATTTGACCTAGAGTGTAAAACATTACACCAGAAGCCTGATAATTTAGTGAGTAATCCTACAGCATTTTCACAGTAATCTACGGTATTTCTACAGTATGCTACGGTATGCTAGCTCTGTATGGCTACTGTTTCCTACAGACAACTACGGTAAACCCCAGTACATGTATATGCCCGTGTCATGATCAGTAAATAAAGGAGAAAATCTGTCGTCATTTCAGTGTATAAATAATGGACTAACAATTGGTATGAAAAACGTCAGTCAGTATTTGACTCAATGATAAACTGTATTTGCTGACAAGGTCATTGTATCGATCATAGAACTTACGATGACTTTAAACGAGACTGCTGATATTTTTGTTTCGTTAACTTGCTTGTCAATAGTTTACATCGTTTTAGAAATTGTTCATACGTAGAGCATGCTCTTGCGTATCGAATCAACTGAGATAAATATACTCCGTATGCAAGTGATGAAGGTATATTGCTGCATAATTAAGAGAAGTTGACGATAGAAAAGTTAAAGTAATCACGTTTATCATATAGCTTGGTTGTTAGATTACCATGAGTGTCTTTTTCAAGTAAAATATCCAAGAATGAAACAGAAGTGTCGGACTCTGTGGTATCTTTTATCTCGAGCTCATCAGGATATATCGTATCGACGTAAGAATGGAAATTACCATTATTTATTGACAATACGTCGTCGATATATCTAAATGTCGAGTTGAAAGCCACAACAAGTGTTTTCTTCTTTTCACGCAAAATATTTTGCATAAATTCTGCTTCATACGAATATAAAAATAAGTCTGCTAAAACGGAGCGCAATTTGTACCCATGGGAATTCCAATAGACTGTTGAAATACCTGGTCTCCCAAAACCACATAGATATTGTCACTTAGAAACTCAAGCATCTTCTTGATGTCAACTTAAGAGTACTTATGTATGCAATCAGAATATATTTTAACAAAATAATTTTGCAAATAACCCATGACGAGGAATGTAAACTTACGAGTTCCATTTTATTGAAGAAGCAGCTGTCAATGATATCAAAAAGCCTGGATTTTAATTTGTCGTTGGGAATTGTTGTGTATAAAGTTGAAAAGTCGTAAGTTTTTAAGCTGTTGAATTTAGTAAAGTCTTGTGATTTCAAAATGTCCAAAAGTTTTTTAGAATTTTTTAGTATTCACATCTGATTCACACCACTTCTTGAATATATAGTTGCACAGTACTTTTGAAGTTTTTCCTTCACTATTGTCAATAACTTAGGAGTAACGAAAGAGGCGTGGTTGAACATTTACTGGAATCTGCAATGTATCTTTGTTTGTTAGGATTCTTATGAAGTTTTGAAATCCAATCTATATAAGGTAGTTCAAATTCAATTTGGCTCTGTGGAATATTGAAAGTATTCAAAACTGACAGGTGATTTTGAAGAATTTCTTCCTTAAAAAGGGAAGTATGAATATAAGTAAGATTACCACTTCTAGAATTAAATCCAAGTTCTTCTAGAATGCAATTTATATAATGAGCCTTACAAAGGAAGACAATGTGGTTACCTGCTTTGTCAGCAGGAACCAGTACGTACTGATCGTGTAATCTATCTAACTCCCTTTTCACTTCTGGTTTATTGAACACAGAAGGATATATGGTTTTCATATTGCCCCTCAATCTATTAATACGTGGCTTTAACGTGGATCTGATACATTTAATCCATTCTGACAAGGTGTCAATGTCTTCTTTTTCTTATCTTGCCCATCGTCTGGCGGGAGAGCATTTATCTTTCTCAAAGGATTATAATTCAACCCTTCGGACGGCAGTCTCAATGGCTAAGAGTAGCTGTAATATTTCAAATCCAACAAATCCCCCGCCTAAGAAATTCCACGAATTTTCAATTAAGGATATTTTTTTAGCTGGTTTGGTACACGTGAATGTTTATAAGAAAGTCTCCACAAGCACTGGCTACGTTTTCCTTTTTGGCTTTTGATCACTTTCCTACGTGGCGTCATACATTTCATCGCTGAGTAGTTTTGATCAGCAATTCTAGTGCAAAGTAACCAAATACACATCTGACCAAATTTCATAGTGTTTGGCCACGTCGTCAATTTCTTTTTGCATATTATGTTCTCATGCGTTTCTTTTTCCCTTCAGTATTTTTATACTCTAAAGAAAGCATAAAAATGCAAAATGTGCCAAATAGATAGATATTGGTAAGTATTTATTAGATATATACATGTATGTATACTTATCAATCAATGGTTATGGATTTAAAAAAATAACAGACTGATATTGAATAAATAATACATCAGAAAATTGTTATTTTGTTCTTTCTACCCTGACCAATTTTTACAAAGGCATCTTCTAAAAAGCGTGATGTTTACTAATATTTAATTTTTTTCACTTTACCATTGTAATACTCTGCCACAAAAACGTTGTCTCTAGTGTCTACACATAATCCCCATGGAAACTGTAGATCACAGTTATCAATGTAACGGAGGAACTGCCCGTCCTGATCTAGGATGTGGATACAGTTGTTGTAACAGTCCGCTGTCAGGATTTGACTCTGGCTGTCTGTTGTGATACCGACGGGATTAAATGATTCTTCGGAAGTAAAGGGATGACCAGTGTATCTGAATAGGAATTTTCCTACCTGATTAACCACCACTACTGCATAGGCTCCAACGTCAGCCACACAGATATCCAGGTTCCTATTCTCACTAATGTATTTACTGTAAACAGATGAATACAGTGGTTTACCATTACTATCAAACTGAATGGTTTGTTTCTCTGTGCAACCCAAGTAACGGACAACTTTTGATTGTTGATTATCATCCCTGTTCATGGTAACCAGAAGGTCATCAGATGAGGTACTACAGACATAGAGAGGTATCCATCCCTGTAGTCTGATCACTTTTTGTACCTGTTTTTTCTTCATGATATTTACAGTTCTTAGTTCGGGGTCAGTATAAACTAGATATCCACTCATTGTCACTGCTATGTCACGTGGGGCATTCCCTGACTTAGTTTTGATTGATTTCAGTAGCTTGCCCTTTGGGTTGTAGAGTTTCATGATGTTGTCATCTCCACATGTCCAGATTTCTTCATCACGGAGACAGGAAACACTGTGTAGGAGATACCCAGTGTCTATGGTGGTGAGGAGCACTGGTTCATCTAGCAATGGTTTGACTGGAGGACAATATTCAGCTTCAGATGACTTCCGTGTGTAGCCATATTTTTCTGTTGTAATGGACAATTCTGAAAGAGAACCAATTATTTGATGGAGCTGTTCTGTGTTGATATGATGAGGAGAAAAAGTTGGTAATGAAACGTTGACTTTAGGAGGTAAACTTCTGAATAAAGCATTCTTGGATTTGTACTCAGATACTAGGGAGACATCATTGGTGTCCAATATTTTCTTCAGATCATCTATGCATTGTTTTAAATCAGCAGTTATCACTCTTATGTCATTTTCCTGTTCATTCAGAGCAGTCAGGTGTTTCGATTTCATCTCACAAATTTCAGATTTCTTTTTGTGGACAAAAATGTTAATTTCTTTGTGCATGTCTTCTCCTTGATTTGTGACAGCTGTTGTCAGTTTCTCATAATGTTTTTCCAGGTCTGCTTTTTCTATCTGTATCTCTGCTAAAATTTCCTCATATTTAGGGCATACTGAATTTAATAATTCATGAAGATCTTTTTCTATAATCTCTTGTTTTGATTTATTCTCCTCCAGTAAATTCAATAAATTGTGTCCTTTGTGGGTGTTGGATGAAAGACAGAACAAACAGACAGGAACATCACATTTCTTGCAGTGAAGTTCACATGATTTTTCAACATGGGTCTGACATTTTGGATATTTCGGTGTTGTTTTCTTTTGTTTGAATGGTACCACTTTATGTTCTTTAGATAAATCAGAGAGATGCTCCCCTACACAGGCCTTACAGAGTTTAACAAGACAAAAGTCACAGTACATTGGGGGAACAGGAGTCCCACATAGGTCACAGCACAGGACATCTTGGCCGCTGAACCGAGGATCCATTCAGAAAGTTAAAGTAGATTATCTAAAACAGATAAACACTTAAGTGAATCGGAATATTTGATACAGCAACCGAACTACTTATATGTAAAATTAAAGAAATATCGTAAAAACGTTTGATTGCTAAGTAGGGGGTGTTGCAACCACTATTGAAATAATGACCACTATTGAAATGATTATATCAATAGTGGTTGAGAGTGCATTTCAATAGCAAACATAGTTAGTAACCACTATTGAAATACAACCACTATTGAAATAATTATATCAATAGTGGTTGAGAGTGCATTTCAATAACAAACATAGGTAATAACCACTATTGAAATACGACCACTATTGATATAATTATTTCATTAGTGGTTGAGAGCGCATTTCAATAACAAACATGGGTAATCACCACTATTGAAATACGACTACTATTGATATACTATTAATTATTTCAATAGTGGGTGAGATTCATTTCAATAACAATCACAGGTTGCAACCACTATTGAAATAATGTTAGCTTTTGAAATAAAGAGTTTAATATGGATAAAATTATTGATTTCAATAGTGCTTTGAACAATGAATCCAAT